GAATGTCTGTATCTATAGAATTCAAATGATTGTCACAGAAGTTAATAAATTTCTAGTAAACTTTTCCTAGACAAATGTACAAGTTGATGAAATCAGTAATATGAAGTTGTGAAAATTTAGTGAACAGTTAATACAATGAAATGGTATGCATTAAATACATTTAAGTTGTTAAATTTATTGTTTGATGATAACCGTAATTAATAAAACCGTTTCTATCATATCAATCATCCTGCCACACTTCCAAATTACTTACACGTTATTTGTACTAAATACTAGCATTCTTACTGGGAATGATATGGCCGAACACGATGAGCTGATGAATTTCTCCGACGTAGAGTACTCAGACACTGTAAATAAATAATAGTAATAATAAACGTTCCCGGGTCTTCGGTGACGTTCAGTAATACCGTTCAACCTAATTGGCCGTAATATTTATCATGGATTCTGTAGATATTTGGTATTTCAAATATTTTGAAGTTTCATGACTGAATTCGTTACTAAATGATTAATGCTCAAGAATCGACTGTTGTTGTTTTGTTAAATAGTCTTTCGCTTAGTCAAAGATGTGAAACTTTGTTCTTATTTCTATGTTCAGGAAGTCTAAATACATTGAAGTGGACGAAAGAAAATGAGGAAAAGAAAAGGGATCAATAAGAACGATGATGAATACAGTAGTGGCTTGTATCATCAGTTCATCTCAGTGGAAAAAATGTGCGACGCTATGTGTGCAAGCACCTAGTTATTCCTTAAAGCTGCTCATTCATGCAGCTCCATCTGTCAGCTAGTACAGTATTCTAGAGAACGTACATAACATGACCGCCCCATATTTTCCTATAACTAGACGAAGGTATTCGTAGCACACAAAGACTGTATTCGTATGTTTTGTTCGTAAACCCTAAAACTCTTCAAGCTGCAGTTTCTCCTATTTTTTCCAAGAAATTCTCATATACCTTCGTAAAAAATGTAATACCTTTCTGAATTTCAAAGATCTTATATAGGTCTTACATTTAACAAGTAACAACTGGATGAGAATATCTAGCTCCTTGGTGACAAAATAGACCATCATGTTGGCTTTTGCTGTGTGCCCTGGATAGTCAGCTCAGCTGTTTAGGGTTTATATCAGAAGTGGACATGAATTACTCCTTGTTGAAGTATGGCTGAGGTAACGACTACTGAAGATGGGTTTAGTTTATTGTATTCATAGGGATGGAAGATCATGTTCAACACTTGCAGGTAAATTATTATCATTCTCGATCCTCCTGTTACGTTCAGATATATAAATAAGTGATTTAGCAATTTGAAGTAGCAAGAAGTTGAATTTTTAAAGCAATTATTTTTTCAAACCGAAATTTCACTTAAATGTAGTTTACGTTTTATGGATATTAAGGAAGAATTGTTAAAAACCGAGATCTGTAGATGAGTAGAAGACTAGGAAACACATAGGAAAACATGTATAAATTACAAATCATTTGACTAATTGATAAGTCTTCTACTTGAACGTTTGTTTCGGACTTCTCGACTGATTCCTAAATTTCAATACTAGTCCCCTTGGACTCGAACAACAGAAAAACGGATTGAAATATGAGTAGATGCTTTGTTTCATATTTAATTTATATTTGGAGAATCCAGTTTGTTTACAGGTTTTCCAATAGTTTTAATTCTTTAAAAACTTCTGGAGATATTCCAAATATAATAAAAAAAATAAGTAGCTATCCAGTCAAAACGTAATACACATTCCCTCACTGTTCTAGATGTTCCGGATAAGCGTCTATTCAGTTCTGATTGGGCAAAACTATTTTAAAGCTTATTTTGAACTGCACTGTTGCTATGTTTGTTAGTGAAAAAGTAGGTTGGAAGAAAGCTAATGGCCTGTTAGACCAGGAAGTGATATCAATCCATGAACTTACTTTAGATTACGATAACCATTTTTATATGAGAAAATCATCATATGCAAAATTTGAAACGACTTATGTATAACACAAAATAAGTAACCAATGATCATCTCATTTATTAGTAAATTTTTGCTCAATCTTTTATTCCTACAATCATACTCGTATTCATTTCTCAGCTGTATGATTTTGCAAAACTCTGTTGTAAGTAGTTATTATTAGTAAATTTATATGTTCCAAATACAACTAAATGCTAACTAATAAAGTCTGATCATTCAATACAAAGTACTTTTTTGTCTTAATCGGACCATAATTTATAGTAATATTCAAATAAACTTGTTTGAGTACAATATCGATCTCAATTTCTGATTATGCTATTTATTTTCTTGTATATATATATATATATATATATATATATATATATATATATAATATCACAAAAGAATATTTGAGTAAACAATTACTTCCGATCACTTCCTCTTCTAATTCTACTGTTATAAATCCTTAATGATTGTATAACATTAGAAATAATATTCAAGTATTTTTGCAAAATGAGGATGGAATGTCTTAGTTGTTTATGATCAAATAAATAAATGAATGATTAGAATGGATTCGCTTTAACTGAGAAGTTATATTGTATTGAAATATAATTAATTATCTATATGTGTATTTTTATATATTATCCAGTAAACACCCTATTGCCAATATAGTTTGATTGAAAACGTAACGGAATACGTTGATTAAATACAGTCTATAATTTACTCCGAAAGTTAACTCATTAACTGACTTATATCATTATTAGTAATAATGTGAAATGTCTCCATTGTTGATATTAAGGATTGAATTTCGATCCGTTTTAATTGAGATAAGAGCATCTTTTGCGGATTCTCACTACATGACCTTTATGTCACAAGTTATTTGAAATATATTGATTTTGGTTAGCAACAGAATCTAGAACACGTGTTCTGTCCTATTTTGAACTGGTCAGTTGGATTCACTTCGTGTTAACATCAGCACTGAGATCCAGGTACATTCAGCTGACGAGTCCCAAATACGAGTGACAATAATCAACCACATTTCTTCAAAACATTTTTTGCTCTATAATAGATGATAACACTAGATCTACAGTATAAATAGTCAAATCTTTAATGAAGGATCTCTATGCTTGTTTGATTTCTATGATTTCCTCTATCCTAGAATTCCGAAGCCTAACGATAAAACATTAAAAGATTTGTATATAAAGCACAGTACTGGAATAATCTTTCAAAGATATTAGATATTTGTTATTGACAATTTAATTTTCCATAACACTGGTCCTGCTTTTTGTTTGAGCGCTTATGTAACCTAGCAGAAAAACAATGTTTTAAAACCCATCTGTCTGTTTTATATCCGAATTAAATCGGTCAACCTGATTCTGTGCTTAATGCTGTAATCCATACATTCCACTATGATAATGGATGGAACACTGTTATTCTATTTCATGTCAGCTTATTTACTAGTTGTGAAAACACAGTTATTATTTTTTAAAAACTATGAGGAAATTAAATGTTGTATGTCCGATTTTCCCATTCCTCCTTTCTAAAAAAATGATAACAAATATTGCTGAAGTTGTAGAAAGAAAAATACTGATTTATCCTTATTATTGGATGTACTAAACTCTGATACGCTTTTGGAAGATTCTGTTACTAGAGTTTTTTTACACATCGAAATTAGTTTTTAGGACTGTTATTCTGTTTGGTATTCTACTGTACAATGTCATCTACGTTGTTGCCTGATATTTTCTCAACAACTCCTGTTATTTAATCACCCAATAGCGTAACAAACATTACCGACCATTTTAAGCTGTTTACTAATCACACGGAATTCAATTTTTATGTTTGTTGGAAATAGCAAAACTTGCAGGACAAAACGTCTGTTATTAGGTAACTCTGTAGCTTGGATTGTAACTCTGATTTTCACTTTATTGTTTCCACTAAAAGTAACAAAGTAACATACCACCATGTTGCCACTTTGAATCCTAATTTTAATTTTAACTTCACAACAAATCTGTATAGTTCAAACTAACAAACTTCAACTGTCTGAACATTATAAGAAGTATAACCATTCTTCTTCTTCTTCTTCTCCTCATATCAGACGACCATTTATTCGAGTAATTGTTAACAAGTTGGACTAACATCATTTCGTACTCTTATTAGCCGATTCGATAGAAATATTCAAATGATATTGAATACATTCATCGTACAGAAGCAAAGCAGACAGGACTAATCAACCCATATATATATAAAGATAATAACAAGAACTGACACACTGACTGGACATGTATTACTTAGTTCCTTTCGCGATTTAGTGAGAAAACCTTCGATTATATTAATAATAACGTTAAAAATGCGGCGTAGTACTATATAAGTACTGAATGAATGAGACGATATAGATAGATAGAGGGATGACATAATCAAACCATACTTTCTGAAAAAATTTTAAATGAAAAGCAGACGACAAAAGTAATGAGGTATGAAGAGGTGCATTCAACAGAATCTATCACAGACCAATTAGAACATTTAAATATCATATGATATTTCAATCCTAATCAAAACAGATTCACGTAATAGAATCTGACTAATAAATCATATTCAAAACAATTAGTCCCTTGAATACATCTGGATAACGCAATGAAAAGACGAAGATTATTAGGACTACATGGTATATAATAATAATAATAATAATAATAAATCACAGCCAAATAGATGTTTAAAAATGGTTTTAAAAAAAGTAGTAATATTAACAACAAGTCTCAGTATTCACTACTTAAAAGAACCTAATTAAGAATACTGAGATTATGAAGATGATAGTAACGCCAAACTAAAATATGTAAAATATATATATTGAAAACTGCTACAATTTTAGCTAAAAAGAGATTCTATATTATTTCCGTACATAAAAAGTAAGAAAAAAAAACAATGAATAAAAGTTCTTGTAGGGTAATGATTGAATAATAACAGTTTATATTACATTTTCTTGAGAGGTAATCATCATAAAAGTTAGACAGATACTCATTTACAAAAAGTAAGTACACACTTGAGTAGATCTGATCAATTCATGATATATATATATATATATATATATATATATATATAGAGAGAGAGAGAGGTACAACTACTAACAAACGTTTTCGTTTTTCTTTCTTTTCTTTTAAAAGAAAAGCAGTAATTGTCACAATAAAAATGTTACTCATAAGAAACAAGGATAGTAAAACTTAGTCGAGAAAAAAAGACAAATATGATAGAAAAAGAAAAGATATTTTATACATTTGTTATTATTCCTGGGTTTTTTTTTGATCAAACACTAATGTAATTATGAAAATGAAAGAAAAATCATTGGATCCTTTCATTTATGTATGATGTATATCCAACAACGTAGCATTTAACCTCCTGTTTTGAAAAAAATAAATTAAGCACAGAATAATAGATTTTAAAAAGTTATTCAATTCATTGTCATAGTTCTCAATAGTAAAATGACTATCAATATAATTGACATAATATGATACTGTATTATATAGTTTTATTCTTTCGACTAAAATTAGTTTCCATAAATGATTTTGTAACATATAACACTAAGATATTGACATTTTGAAAGAACAAATCGAGATTTATTTATTACAGGTTTCATCCTATCAATAAAATTAAATGTGGAAATAGAAAAAAAAATTTATAACAAAGTAATTATATATTATTGTGGTGTATGTTACGGATGTCGACAAATATGAGTAGCATTTATTCCCAACCGAAAGTGGAATGCTTGGTGGCAAAAGGTTGAGAAAATCAAAGAGAAGAGAACAAGAACAAAGAGTGATAAGTATAGAAACGAATGAACAACAAAATCTGAGACAGTTGATGAATATTTTGCAAATAAACTATTTACTGTATAGTTTTCAGATTTTACTAAAAAATTCTGTAATTTTGTACTCAAATACATTTGGTTGTCTCCGCCTGTGTTCACATTCACTACATTATTATTGATATGTACAGGATTAATATGAACTAATATTAAATCTTGATCGGGTGATTAATGAATGGTTATGATGTCGAATAAATAATTACTACAAGATAAGGACAAATGTTCAGCAAATACCTGTCTTTTTTTAGTTAAACAATATGCGTATATAAAAGATATTTAACACGAACACAAACATTATTTGAAGTTGTTCAATATATTTATACGATCGTAGCTTAAGAGTTCTTGATAATCATTTAACAGTTATTATAAATAACATTTACTTAATTCTTATCTCATGAAATACTGTCGGATATATAAATTGTAACGTTGTCAAGTTGTCGAAATTCTTATAATTCAACTGGTTTTTATTGCAATTCTTTAGTTGAACACATAGGCAGTAGATGTATTGATACAGCAGAATACATATGATCACCGTATGGATGATAAGTGAATCGGTAATCCATATTGTGTTCATTCTCCTATTTTTTTTAATTTTCAATATATCATATTTTCTTAGATAGAGAAGTATTAGTAATTGGATTACGTATGCTGCTGAGCAAGTGTTTTGTAGAAATTTATTGAGCCAACCTTCAACTAGAATATTAGAGATTTAATTCTTGAATTTACTGTTTCTTGTTACTTTTGTTCTACAGTAATAAGACTTAGGGTTGGAAGGGGGTATTTCTGAAAATTTCATCACAGAACCACTAAAAAGATTGTAAAGGATTAGTTTGCTAAGAAAACTGACTGATTGTTTCTTCAGAAACCTTCCGTTATTTCAGCAATAAATGTAACAAGATAATTGTTAACTCTATACATAATCTTACGTATTTGAGCCACTTTATAAGTTTGTATCAACAATTTTCGAGTACGAGTTGAAATGAACGATAAGAGTTAGTAATAAATATATTTTTTGTTACATCCCAAGGAGTAAAAAAATTGTATTTCTAACGTTTCGTGACTTCATGTAAGAATCTTCTTCAGAATAAATAAGCAACCGATTAAATTAACACAAGTCTGAATAGGATAAAGAAGACAATAAGAGTGTATTTGAGTAGCTTTATCATTCAGGAAGTGTGTTTTCACACAACACAACACATTCATAATTAAAACCCAACTGATATAACTGATAATAATTTTTAAAATAATATGTAAAAGATTATCGCTGATTATTATTGACTGTTTAACGAATATTGATTTAAGATAGAGACTAAATATTCACAACGCAGCAATCGGAAATCGTTTAACGTACAAAGATATTGATTGTTTCTGCACTTGAAAATAACTGAAAGGTGCAGACGTTTTCATAGATCCAGTCGTTCAGCTTCTGAAACCAATAATCTTAAAGGCAAATAAATAATAACCTTTGACTAACGTAAACAGTAAAATCTCGTCTAAAGCTCTTTTACGATTGCTGCCGATCCCAAGCCAAGATAAAGGAGGGTTAGGCATACGGTTAGTAACCCTATGCCATAGAAAACAATTTAGCTACAAAAACCACTAACCAAATCAAATAATGTAAACCATTTAAACTCTGTCCTCCGAGTTTAAAAAAGAATTATGACGCCTCATGACGAAAGCTGAGATTCTTCGGAAGTCACGAGGCCCATGCTTTCTGTAACAACCAAACCAACAACTAATATGGATACATTGACAGAAGAAGGTGATTACTTATCTGGACTCTTATTTTTAAATTGACTTAACAACAAGAGTAACAATTAATATAGGTAAACTCAATGTCTGGACAATGTGACAGACCGAAAGGATTACTCAAATAGCAACGGAAATTAGGAGATACAACTTGACAGTACTCAGAATCATTGAAACCCATCGGCCCAAAGCTGAACAGAAAAGGATAGATTCGGGAGAGATGCTGTTGTACTCTGATCACGATGATGGAAATGCTCCACACAATCATGGAGTTGCCCTGATGCTTTTCAATGAACCATGTAAGACACTCATAGGATGAGAATTTCATGGATCCAGAATCACCAAAGCACCCTTCAAAACATAGAAGGACGGGATCGCAATATTATCCAGTGTTATGCACCAACTAATAATAGCGATGAAGACGATAAAGTTCAGTTTTATGAGAGGCTGCAATCGGTCATAGTAAAATGATCGGGAAAGAACTTGACCATCCTGATGGTAGACTTAAACACCAAAGTCTGAATGGGCAACGCTGGATATGAAGATATCATGGGACAATATGGACTGACTGGGAGAAAAGAATGAGAATGTTGAGAGATTTGAAAATTTATGTGCACTCGACAAAACGTTTATATGTGGCATCATATTCCCCACAAGTGAATACACAAAGTTACAGGTGACGTAACTCTTATATGCCATACACACATACAAATGAAGGTGAAGACAATCTCTGCAGGCCTCAGCATACACAAGGGAATAAGCAAGTTCCTGAGATAAAACACAGAAAGCACCAACCCAATTACATTTGCGGAAATCACCAAACTGCATCACGAGGCAAACCCTAACATGGAGTCCTCAAGGCAAAAAGAAAGGTGGAAGACAAAAGATTACATTGAACTGAGTATTGAAGGGCAACATCAAAGGGATGAATAGCATTTGAAAACAACTGGGGAGGAGAGCTCAGGTTAGAGTTGGATGGGTAATCTTAGTCGGCACCCTATGCTGTATAGGGAGGTAAAGGAGTAAGTAATCAAGTAAGTAACGTATACAGTAAAGAATTCCAAACAGCAATTCATCGAGATCTTAGTGATCAATTTGAGAAAAGATTAGCAGTGGATACAGGATAACAAAAATAACTTAACAAAAGAAAACAGAAAAGTTCAAAAATAAATTATTCGTCAAAGATTTACATTGTAATTATTGTTATTATATCCAATTGAAATAATTTGTTCTCCAGAAACAGTGATGAATCTCAACTGAAGTGATCTTGCGATATATAAGTAGAACGAATATATTAAAAAAAATTGAGCGAGAAAATAATTAACAAAGTAACACTTTAAAAACTTACATAGCTAAAAGTGTGTGTTAATCCCACATTTTTCGTTGGTATCTCTTTTTAAACAGCGTTTTCTCAAACTGATTGAATTACTTACAGTATCCGTATGAACTGATTTCTTAAGTAGTTTGTTAACTGATGGTTCAATATTTTTTAAGAAACCATTCGTATAACGATGACTTTTATCTTTGTATAAAATTTCTTTAGCCCATTCTGGAATCGGTTGCTTACTATAACAAATTCCTATTTCTTCAGAAACTTGCCCGATTATGTCTAATGCCTGAATGACAGAAATTTAAACATCAAAAAGCAAATATCATTTAATTTTGTAGTTAGAACAATAAGTTAGAACAATAAGTACTATCCGTAAATAATCATATACTGTTGACATAAATCAATTGTCATATATGCTTTGTGATCACACTCCGAAGTCACACAGACCACTAACGATTACCAATCTTTATTTACGAGTTCCACCTAAAGCATTTCCCTTCGTGATGTCAGAAAACAAGGAGTTTCAATATCTCACACACTCCAACTAGTGTTCAACTTTATATTCATCTCCATCAAACTCTTTCCTTATTTCTCACTAGTTTTTCTGTCCTTGTTGACAACACATCTTCTTTGATCCAGTTGTCTTTTTCACGTTCAACCAATGTTAACGATTTGGGATAATGGAATGTTATCCATTTTCTGCTGGAATTTTTATTACACTACATGCTGGAGCCTTCAATTTTTAGACCATGTATCAAATCAAACTATAGAGCTCATCAGTCAAAATTTTGAAATTTCGCTTCATTGATGCATTGTGTGTGTGTCTAAAAGTCACATACAGGACCAACACACAGTCGTTCAATTGACCTCATATAACCAGTGCGGAAAGCTGCTCAAGTTACGAATTAAGTACACCTAGACACGTATGAATGTAGCACTAACTCCAGTAGCATAACATTCATGGACTATATTTTTGATTATAGTCACTTGTGAATGAATGGCTCTGTAAGAACTTAGAAACACATCATCACTTGTCTGTCATTCCTGTCCCCACTACCATCGAGTGCGGCTCAAAAGAATTAAAAATGAGATCTACAGACATCTGTTACCATCCTAAAGTTCTATGTTAGGAAAGCTTAGTGGGTTTTGGTAGCTTCTGATGAATTGTTGGGTTGCCTTGAACTCAGCGCAACCTTCTCGAACATGGTGATGAACAGAGGCAAACTAAAGGGTAGAATGACAAAAGTTTTCTCAAAGAGCGTAAACAGTTGTTTCCAGCGTTTATCAAGGAAATGGAGAGGATAGTAATAACAGATAACATTAGACAGCTTGTTTAAACTCATTCATGAAACTGGTAATACAAAGCTGCTTGCAAGAGAAAGTATCTTTAAAAAAAACAACTAAGATTCGCTCTTGGACCAAATGATTATAATATTGCCATCTATCTACTCTCCAGTCATCTATTATCCACGAACATCCTGAATGAAAAATCGACATAGACCTCGTTTTTCAAAGTTTAATGAATAAAAATATGTAAGATCTATTAAGTTAATTCCAAGGATCTCTAAGAATGATAACCTGATGTTATCAGTAAAATTAACTGAGATATATAGTATAGCCATAGAGTCAAACATAACTTTAGCTGACTACTTTTGATCATGGATATCTATTATTAGTAGTTAGTGTAAAATAAATGAAAAGAAACTCACCCTGTCTAATAACTCTCGTGTATGTGCTGATGAAATGCAAAATCGTACCCTGGATAAAAGCAGAGTTGTAGCTGGAAAACCAACGACTACAGTTCCTAATCCTAATTCTAAACATCTACGCGAAAAGGCAACTAGTTTAGCTGGCATATAAACGATAACTGGTACAACAGGGCTATCACGATTCCCATAAACAATTAAGCCCATTTCATGTAATCTTGCACGAAAATAACGTATATTCTCAGCTAAACATTTAATTCTGAAATGATAAAAAATAAAAACATAAGACCAAACAATTCAGAAACTATATGTGTAACTTTGAAAGAGTAAGTATTCAAACATGATTGCAAACAATGGCATCACATATTTAAAGTAATGCTTGTATTTCGATTTCGTTTTAGTGGTTAAGCTGTAACTTTTTATCAAATAACCTTAAGATTACAGCTTCAAACCCATGAAGAGAGGAAGTAAAGATCTACTAAGAAATGTCTATTTTATACAGGAACGATTTATAGAAATTTTGAATTTGGCCTCTATTGAAACTTCTACTTATGAGAATATGTTTTCGACCGAGCTGTTTTACGATCAAATGCCTGTTCTTGTTTGTGCTAATCTGATACTTTCTTAGAATTACATATCCACGTGTCGTAGATCTGATAAATCTAAGCAACTCAAACATTAGATACTCCGCGGACGATTCAACTGTAAATTCGACATCTACGGTTTACGACATCTCATTTAAATCTTGTTAATTAGTGAAATATGATTTTGGAATGAATATAATAAACATCTAAATACAATAAACATAGCATACGGGTAGTGGTACGGTAATCCAGCCAATTAACGTTGGTAAATCCTTATATAGTAAAGCCGGTGTAGAGTTTCTGGAATTGGTTTCCATGTTTTCAAGGCTCACAAAACCATCACGTGGACGTGATTCCGTGGGAAATGGATACCCCTAAGTTTGCGCGTGGGCTTCGCACCATAGACAGGTATACGTTGTATGCATACCAGTAGCATACAAGTTTCCACCCATGTATCTCTTGTTACGCACTTAGTTACAATCACTGTGGGAGCAAACATGTTTTACATACATACTGGTAACAAACTCTTTTTCACTCAACCTCCAATAGCATACATAAAGGTATATTCAAACAACTGAAATGGTAGACGGTTACCATTTCCTTCCAACGTATATGCTAAAACTGACTGTTTCTTACTCATTATATGCATACCACTAGTACGAAGACCTTTGTTCATGCACTTCGTGACATACACATAGGCATAAACACTCTCACTTCTCCCTAATATTTGCTACCTCATATTTTTTATGTCTTCGAACTGTTGGTATAGGCCGCTGATTTCATTAGATTTAAAGCAGACATTTCAACTTGCGTTCCTTTTGCGAACCAGGTAACTACCCTTTGTATATACCTACATACACAACTACGCAAGCCAATCTTCATGCAATTCATATACATAAGCATGCACATCATGTAACACGCAAGGTTTGAGAGTGTCAATGTTGGATACCCAGATTTATCCAGTTTACAGCAGGGTGGGGGACTAGTCTGATTTCCACCGACCGCCCAAGTTAGCTAGCAAGTTTACTCTTACTACCCAAAAGTAACACTTGTAGGCCTCAAATCTTAGTATACAGATACTTAAATTATAAGCTCAACTATTCACCAATGTACGTCAGTGAAACAAATTTTATCAATTGTCAGATATTCTGTGCGGTTCAGGGACAATTGTAAACATTTTACGTACACTAATTTCTCATAGTCTCAGTAATTTATCATATATACTAACTACAATAATCTTAATCAATAACCTCATTTGTTAATTACACATTTGAACGAGTTCGGTGATAGCACAGCGGATAGTCACTTTATTGTCTTGGTTACTCTCAGTACTTAAAATCCTGACATTAATCAATACACTTAAATTTAAATTTGTATTCCGTTGTATAAATAAAAGTTTGTAGTTTTCATCATATGACAGTGTTAATTATTTTAATATCATCTACAAAACAGTACTATATATTCGGATAAGAATTTAATGATTTTCGTGTCACTAGGGTTCTGTATGAGATTTTAATATCATAGCTTTTTCATCGATGAGGTTTACTAGTTATAAAAAATCAAGGATAAAAAGAAAGGGAACCTGAGGTTTAAAGTTTTACTATTATACGTTTCGAAATATTAATTAGGATTAAATCCGAATGAGATTATTCGCCAGTGAAATGCAGTCTTATTAACCGGTCAAAATTCATTAGAATCCTGAAACAAATTTTAAATATCTTCATCTCAATATGGAGTTGTGGATAAATCACTGATTTAGAATCTTATACTCGCCTTGAGGAGTTGAGCAATAAGACTGAATGAAACGAGATATCGTGTTCTGATTTAATGATATTCGTTTAGAGTTCGTTTGTATTCAGTGAAGAATCCATTTTCACCTTCCCACTATTACAGGTATTTGTGATATTCAATGACTAATTATCACATCTCAGTAATATCTGGACAAAAAGCAGTATATTTGGTTGATAGGTTATCGTATTTTTGTAGAGTGAATAAAATCTTCATCTGACATCAGTTTTTATCCTCTTCCTTCGACCACATGAATCTCAGTTTTTGTTATTTCAAATACCAGCTATCAGCTGCCAAAACATAGGGTCAAATAATCTATCTTCATATAAGAAATATACCATACGAACTTATTGCAAGGTTACTTATTTATTTCACACATCATCGTTAATTCTAATAAATATTTGAGTAGTTTATCAACATGATCTTCATTCCATGTATGTAGAAACAGTAGGCAAGCCCTAACTCGCAGTTCCCAAGATGAAAGGGAAAGAGGCAGACAAAAGAACACATTGAACCGGGAACTGGAAGGAGATATCAAAGGAATGAATAGCATTTAGAAACAGCTGGAAAGGAGAGCCTAAGTCAGAGTTGGCTGGAGAATCCTGGTCGGTGGCCTATGCTCTACAAGGAGTAACAGGTGTAACATATTGAACATATGTAGAAAAAGTAAGTAAAACAAAGTACAAATAATAGTTTTCCAAGAATAATGTTTAGGTATTCAGCATTCATTCGTAACAAGAATATCAAAAATTCATTCGAAATTTAACCACAATCATTTAATTACCAGTTTATATTTTGTGTTTACGTAAAATATGCTTCGTTTGCTAACCAACACATGCATACAAATATGCTAATGTCGGGATAGACTAAGAACCACCTAATGATGATTCAAGCATTACGAAAAGCTATATTTGTATGCTCATCAAAAGCTGAGCATAAAAGATAATAACTAACGTTTTCTGTTTAATGAACATAAAGAAGGTGGATAATAAGAAAATCATTTAGAGATATCAGTTTTCTCATGTACAATCACTGACATTTGATTAACTATGGAGACAGAATGTGTCACTTGTAAGCATTCTGTTATATACGATTTGGTTTACCTAAAAGGGACTTGTTTGTATGCTGAATTACTTACAAACCGTCAATTCACTATGGATAATGCAACAATATAGCTGCATATATTTGAGCTGAAGGTTTAATTTCAGCCGTTTTACCGATATAAGTATATTGTGAATGTATATAATGATATATTTAATTGCCCGCATTGATTATGTGGGGAAACAGTATTTTATTGAAATGTTTAGCAGAAATACTAAAACGTAAATTATGCTAAAGTAACTAATAAATTTATGTACATAACAGTAATGTAATTAATTTACCTTCGTTCACCTTCACCAGGTACATCTTTTCCCATGATAATTTTTATGGATGATATAATTTGTTGAGCTAGTGGTGCTGGCATACTACAACCATATACAGTATTATATGACATCGAGCGAAGATAGTCAATTAACTTGTGATTTCCAGCTATGTATCCACCAGATGAACCGAAACTCTTCGTAAATGTACCCATTGAAATATCAATATCACGTGGATCAACACCAAAGTAATCAGCCACACCACGACCCATTTGACCTAATGCACCAATACTATGTGCCTCATCCAAATAAAGATAAGCATTATATTTCTTCTTTAAAGCGATTACTTCGGGAAGATGAAGAATACTTCCTTCCATACTGTGTAAATACACATACATAATCAAAAATATACATGAGCTAAGATTATAGCATTTGAATGAGAATTGAATTTAGTGTTTAAAATAATCGTCTTAAAATGCTACTACAGAGAAACATGAGATCGGTAATTATTAAATACCCTTATAATAATAAGAAATAATTTGTAACTTAAATTGTTATTACTGTTTTCTAGTGTTAGGGGTTTGTGAAGATTTTTAAATTTTATTGTTCGAAACACGTACGGACCTTAGTTAACAGCAAAGCTGTTTTATTCTACTTTGTGACTTCTGAAAATTGTGCATTTATGATCCCACCAAGTATCAAATCTAGGTCTTCCAAGTTTTGTAACAAACAATTAGCTTTTAATTGAGATCATGAACCGATTGATGTTAGACCACCTTTGGAAACCTGGAAGCACTGGATGGCCGTTTCGTCCTATTGTGGGACTCCTCAGCAGTGCAAATCCACGATCCCGCTCGCGGGATTCGGTCTCGCGCGGGAACACTTGACCTACTGGACCACTGAGCCGGCATCCAATGGTGATAGTGTCCAACATTAGCTTTTAGACTATTAAGTCAACATCAAATGACTTACAATTCTAACTTTCCGGTTTTTAATAGTTGTCTAAGATCAGTTTGTAATTCAAACTGTTAAATTCTTTCTCAATTATATAAATAACAAACTGAATATTATGTTCATTAAGATTATACAGTTTATTAGACATAAGAACAGTATTATATATTGCTATTCTCATCGGTTCAATAAGAATTATATTCTACCAAATAAAGATTGTCACAGTAAAAAAGTATAAAGTATATTCAATAGTCTTTCACATTCATTTACATTGATTAACAGTAATAACCATGATATTGTACTCTTTCTTAAGAAATCATTTTTTTACTGTATTTTTTTGGTAAGTAATTTACATGTATTGAAAAATCATTTATTTTAATCAGTACAAATACATAAATAATTATAATTTAATATAATACTTGCTAGTTATTACCATTAAAAAAAAGATATCAATAATGTTAAGATAACTCTCCTGATAAACCGTGTAAGATGAATGAAGAAAATGAATCCTTTTGGTGAATATTTCATGTAATCACGTACTTTTTAAACAATCATTTAAGTAGTATAGCTTACAACTTCAATCTGCTTGGCAATTGTATTACTTTTTAATACTTGGAATCATGAGTCAACTGAAGCTAGAACACCATGGAAAACCTGGAAGCACTGGACGACCGTTTCGTCCGAGCATGGAACTCCTCAGCAGTGCGCATCCACGATCTAGCCCCCCGCGAGATTCGAACCAGAGCCTGCCAGTCTCACGTGCGAGTGCTTAACCATTAGACCACTGGGCCGGCATCCAATGGTGTTAATGTCTAACTTCAACCAATCCACGAAATTGCGCCACCGTACACCTTTGTCTTCAGTCAGCTGATATCTCAAAACAGATCTGGTTGAACTCCACTGGTAACGGCTTCTCACTAGAACTCCAGGAAATACCTCTTGAAGTCAGTCACTAGTGGGCAGAAGATTATTATCAGAAGTGGTTTTGTGGAGATTCTAGTAATTTCAATAGTTGAAATCATGAGTCAACTGAATTATTTTTAGAAGCCATTTAAACTTTAATCTATATACACTTACGATACTTAGTTTAGATTAACTGAAAAAAACTATGGAGATACATTATACTGTGTAGGTTGTCATAATAAACTATTCATTATATCATTTCTACTTCTAACTAGTTGTCCTATCCACCTACAATAGACTAAAATACTTCAAGTAAACAAGATCAACTGGATGATTATCTCAAAGGCAATATAGTTCATAAAAACAAAGATTTATTTATCAGGCTACTAATTATTATGAAACTTTAGAAGGTTATACATAAATTCTAGAAAAATATCACATGTCTATGAACAACACAAAATGATAGATGATGGAAATTTGCAAATGAAGTATTCAGTGTATGATTCTCATATCTCATCAATCGACTCTGTAATGTATTTGAACATGCAATTTATTTAACAAGTTAGTGAGGATCTCTCCTTAAGGTTTTAAAGAGATCAAACAAAGTCAGTAAAAAATCGGCTTTATCAAATTTGGTTAGTAGTATTTCTGTAGACGGTAGGACTAGATCATTCAGAATAATTTATCAAATAGCTTTCATTTTCTCCAGAGAAGTTCAACTTGATTTTCTAAATATAGAAGAAGCTATGGGGATTCGAGCTAAAAACCCTAGTTTTTGTAATATCCATATCACTTACCTAGTCAGAAAAAACTTTATTGATATTTTTACTATTTTTGATACTGTTTGTTTGTTTCCCGTTGCCTCTTTTATACCTTTTCCTTACTCATGTATTTTTAGAAGTATTACGTGAAGATTATTCTCTTACGTTTGACCAACACTTATAACTTTAATATACTTGTTCATGTTAACATGTTATTTTATCATTTGACTGATCACTATCATATCTATAATTAAATTGCAAATCGTACTGCATAAGTTCATTGGTTATATATATATCGATTTTCAGGCTCAAATTAGATCAATTATCAAGCACAAAATGATGAAAAGATGTGTACTTATAGTACATTATTTAGCAATGTTTAAGAAAAATGAAAGGTCAGTTCATTTGTCATTCATCTTTTCAGCACTTATTGCTTATTAATTGATTCAATTTGAGTTCTAAAATTGTTAAATACAGTATGAATGGACACAAAGTGTTCCCGGTTGAATTTCTAGCCAGCCTGTCAGTGATCAAATCAAATAATAATGCAACAGTCGTCAATTCAATCATAAAATCAAATTTATGAACTTAAGAATACATAGTATTAAAATGTTTCGTAACTAAGAAACACATTGAAACGATTGTTGATTTTCAAGAGTCGTTAACGTAATAATAGAATGAATTATGATAGAAATATCGTTTAAACTAGCTAAACAATATTGTGGTTCATTCATTTCAGGGGCGAGACCATAATCTGTGGACGAACCAATCAGATATTAAATAACAGATCCTGGACTTCGGCTCTAAATTCAATAGCGTTTTGGCATTTTATCTGATGTCAATTAGTAATGAAAACCCTAAACCTAATTCCTAATCATCAACTGTAAATCATAATCTTGATTCCTCACACTGGTTTACAACCCTCATTTAGTCATAGTTAGTGGATGGACATTCTCTAGGTCACTTTAATGTTGCTCAAAGGTCGTCCATAAATTATGGTCTCATCCATTTCATGTTGTATACCTCACTAAATTTCAATTTTGTAACCGTACAGTTTAACTAGTAATAAGCATCGACACAATCAAAATGATAATACAATACAAGTACAGAATCGTAAGGTAGGATATGAGCCACATTTACTGTATTCGGGCTAGAAATACTATTCAAACAAAAGTAGATATACGTGTCACGTGATATTATGTGAAAAGTGTAAAGATAATGATTAGATAACAATTAAAATGAAAGTAGACTTGCTTCGTGATAGGAAATGAACGAGAGATAACATTTGTGTTATTGGGTTAATGCTTAAAAGAAACCGAGTAATTTAATAAAAATGAGCTTAAATTATTTTGGTTTTTTACATAGACAAACGGCACAGTTCAAGAAAAAAGCAAATTAACTACGAATATTTACCTGTATATACCTTCAACTACAACCAAGATCTTTTTATATGGTCTGTGGGTACGCGGACGACCATAAACAACAGAATCTTGCAGAATTTTTTCCAAATCTTCCATATCATTATGTTTAAAACGACGTATAGTTGCTCCCGACAATCGACATCCCAAGACTAGACTTGTATGATTTAATTCATCACTGACTACACAGCAATCCTAGGACAATCAATCGATAAGAACAAGTAAAAAAACTTGAACAAATTCAACAGTAAATACAATTTATCAATTTGATATATGTGCACACTCAGATGATTCACTTAATACGAACTAGTAATTTAAATCAATGTATTATGAATGTAGTTTCCTTGTAATTGAAAAGCATACCATAGCCTTACCTCAATCTCACGCGATTCTAGCCTCAAGGTTAAACCAGTCAGTCTATCGTGTCAAGGATTTAATCTAGATGGAGACAAGCTATCTTCTGTATATTGGTGGGTAGATAGATCAAGGACATAACAGATATCTTCACAATCATAAACTATTTAAGTTGAAACGAGGATAGGAATGAATGACTTAATACTGTGTTCATCATTTCGGAAACAATTAACCTAACCTTTTAAACCTCAAAACGAGTAAAGAGGAATTTATATTACGCTAAACAGTCTAATTTTTAGCACCTCAGAATCCATCCGATAAGTAATTCAAATATTAATAGTTAACATTTAATAAAATTTCAAGTGTGCCTTTTAACGTCAGTCAATTCCCAATAAACAGAAAATCTTTAATCAGTAATACTTAGTATCTTCTATGATAGTGTCTATATTAGTCAGATTCACTTCTTAATTAAATAGATAAGATGAAATAAAATTAAGGGCTTAGAAAATAATGCACAAATGGCAATTTAAACCCATTATGTAATTATGATATTTAAATATCACAGGTTGTAAGCAGCTGACAAGAACCTACGAAATAAAATGAATTCGTGCTATTCTGCTAGAATCTTTGTTCTTGCTCTTTTCAAAATGATAAAGGGAACTATGTGTATGAAACAAATAACTGAATTGAAAAATTCATATTATTATGTAATTTACTGTATAGCTTATGTGTAATTGAATAAATATATATATGTTTACACATAGACAATTAAAATGTCAATTAATTGATTCATTTCACTGTTTTTAATCAGTAAACAAATCAATAATATTCATATGAGCAACAAAAAAAGGTTAAACACTAGTGAGTGAAGTTAAAAATGTTTCCATTTTCTATGAGACAGAAAGCACCATTAAAACTAATGTCAATTTATGTACAAAATGAGTTAAGAGAAACTAAAGAACATAAAATACTAATGATTGATAAACAAATGCATTGTTAACATTTATAAAAAGTAGTGTAGAATACTTAACAGTGTACTTGTAATAATCTGGACAATTGTTATTAAACTTATAAAGATATTATATAGTAGTTTCATGGGTGTTCGGACACAAGTAACATTTTAATTTTGTAGATTCAAATAGGTATTATGATGGCTACAAGGACTCAGTAGCTAAGTGGATAACACGATGGCGTTTGAAGCGAACGGTACTGAGTTCGAGTCCCAGAGTGTACATCAACTCTGAGATGCAGGTACATCCAGCTGACGAGTCCCAAACAGGACGAAACACGCGTCCTGGATTCCACTGCTAGCCACTATCCATCTTTGCTTATAATGCTTGTAAATTAAGGCAATATCGAGGCATACGCACAGTATGCACATATGCCAATAAGATACTGATCAATTTCATTCCAAAAAAAAAATATCAGTGGGAAGATTCAAGTGAAACAATATCAAGTGAATTAGGTATTATGATGTTTTAACGTTCGAATGTGATGAATATATATATATATATATATATATATATATATATATATATATATATATATATATATATATATATATAATGCGTATGTACACTTCATTTACTTAGTCAACTGAACTTAATAATTGTTTATGTGTAGTTAACTTAATGACCATTTAAGCAGTTTTAAACAAGCATGTTATCAATAACATGTTCACAGAATCATGGTCTAATTATTAATCTTGTAAAAAGACATATGATGGTAATCTTATCCACAAATTAAAATAAATATATACTAATATTATGAATAAAGTAAAGTAGTCAATAATCTAGTTTAGAAGGTTTTACTAAAAATGAAGGCATCATATATATATATATATATATATATATATATATATATATAGAAGTCTCTAATGCTTGAACTCAAACGATTACAAATGAATATAGGGTCATACCTGTTACACATGATCATATGACTTTTTTTCAACTATTAATACCCTTATCTTTGTGTTTCCATAATCTTTTTTTTATGTCAACCGTTTCTTTTAAAATATATATCGATTGATTTTAAGTTTTAAATTATTTTTAAATACACACAGAAGTGTTGCTTATGATTATGGCCACTGAATCTTATCAAGTTTAATCATGTGAAAGAATTTAATAATGGGACACTTCTTATGGCATTATAAATGAAGATAAGTTAACTGTTCAATGTTGTATGACATTGGTAAGTAAGTGACTTAGTTCATTGTCGAATTCATTATAATTTTGTGAAGTTATACTCCTTTTTGAAATCAACCATTAAAATACAAACTTAAAATAATACCAAAAGTTACTAAGTATGAGTCAAGATTTTTATCAGGTGATGGTAAAAATACACCTACATTCTTATCACTAATTAACTTCTTTCAATAAATGGAATAAAAGTAAGCTCCAGTCGGTGACAGTATAAATAACTTGCAGTTACACTATTAAGTGTCGAAAATTATATATAACTAAAAGTCTTAAAATTGCTACCGATCAGTCATGAACAGTATAGAATTATGGATAAATTTACATTTATCCAAATTATCCTAAATTAGATCAACACTCAGAAAGAGTTAACAAAGATGAAACCAAAGCAAGTGAAACAACAATAGTAATAACACTACTTATTTTCTTTTCACCCGCTTCCACTTAAGCCAGCAATGTTCGTGTGGGTAGCCAGAGTAAGAGTATTCGTGACATACATCCCAACCACCTTAGCTGATAAAGAATCACAGTTTTAATGAACAATATTCAACCTTAACCCCCTATATTCGACACCTAGCTCCAACACTATTCACCCCATGATTCCACCATATATCAGTCATACTCCAAAAACATCTACACATACTTTTTATTCTAATAAGCCATGTTTCACAGAAGTAAAGGGAAATAAAAAACAACTGAGTAGTTTATTCGTCTTTCGTTAGTTGTACGTCCATTTAATATACACTTGGTAATTTCATCACCATTGAATACACATGTGGTTAACTCTTCATAACGTACTGTTATTTGTTGTTCTGAGTTGGTTAACACCTAGTTCTTCCTAAATATTAAAGTTTGGTTGAACTACTCCTAAAAGTTTATCGATCTTATTATTCTTCTAGTTTGAGAGTGGACCACTAAATTATTTTGGGATATATTATTACTGACAGTTGATTTTACAATCCTAGTCTTGTATTAATTATCGGTATGATCTTTTCAGCTTTTTATTTGAGTCGTTTATGCATTACTGCTCACAATTATTGTGTAGGTGTTTTTCAGTCTGTGTTCAAGCTGCCTCTGGGACTCAACGTGTCCGGAGCTTGCTACGACGAGCTTAAATGCATTTAATAATCCAGTGGGAACTATTTACATTTGCTATTTCTTCCTTAGCTCTCGATTCGAGTTTTCAACAAACAACTGTTATTTTTACCGCATTTCAGAAATTCCATTAGGTCACATGGATGGAATATGCATACAATGTTTTGTTAGGAGTAAAGTTCATTTTTATGAGTTCCAAGACGTATTTCTATTTTAATCTTTGTGCGACCAATAAGGAGCAACGAGACACATACTTATACCACATTATAACCAGAGTCGAAAATATGTTATAAAAGTAAAGGCAGTTTACCATTTCTAATTATCACCCCTATCTATATTTTTAACGTGTGTTCCTAATCAAGTTGATGTTCAAAATTGATAGATCAAACATTGTCTTTCTTGTTCTCTAGAGACGAAACATACTGTAAATAAAAGATTATCTGACTGTAGTTCGTTACTTGTTTAATGGACTAAAATAATTGAAGTTCCACCTACATCCTTTAAGCTTCACCAAGCTTAACTACTTGAGCGTTAAAGCTAACTGTCATAATTACAACATCAAGATACTCAATCTTTAGTAAGAGGTCAGAAAAATTTCTTTGGAGCTCATGTTTTAATTTTTCCAAGTTGCAGTCAGTAGGAATGTAGGCAGAGATTACTTAAGGGGTGATGGTGTGTATCCTCCTACTTTTAAGCTCTTACACCACCAGTCATTGGGACAGTTGATTAGTGATTACAGTCAAAATCCAGTTCACAAATTGCTTTTCTACTACTGAATTCAACGCTTTACCTACAAGTTCAAGAGCATAAGAAGTTGCCATTAAGTTTGGCAATACCTGATGCGCCAAGTGAGCTGATTCTGTGCGTCAACTACTTGAATTTAACTAGATGATTGGGTATGAGTCCTGTTTGTAAGTTTCAAAGACATATCATAAACCAATGACACCAAATTCTAAAATCTTAGCCAATAAAGCCTTTTGGGGGATACTAATTCCCTAAGCACAACTTATTACAGTAAAATCAATCTTGAAATCCATATACTGGACTTAAGCGATTTTCGTTTATTAGCTTTCAGTAATAATCAATGGGATGTGAATTTCGTTCATTGATTTTCAGTACATTTTCAATTGTATTGATTCAGTCACTGTGAAGTTTGTTTGGTTTGGTTTTCAATACAATTTTGTTGTATTAATCAATTCAATGCGATCTTGACTTTAAGCGACAATTACTCATTTGATATAAATCTGCAGTTAGTAATCATTACAACTAGTCTGTATAAGCTGATTTAACTTTATGCAAATTAAATCTTCTGTAGTTTCTACCTAATAAATCTTCTTAGTAAGATTTATGTTTTGGAGTAACTGAGAGAAAGAAATAAGCCGTTGTACCCTGATTCGAAGTTTTATTACAGTAGTACTTATTACCCCAAACTATGTTATGTCTGTTGTTTGATTTGAGACAGTTCGAACATCAGGACTCTTAACAAGTACTATAATGTAAAATTTAAGCGGAATAGAGATAACATTTTGTCAACAAGGACAGAAAAATTAG